GATATAATACTTTTTTTAATGATGTTCTGCTATATATTACTTTTATCCAGCTAATATTCTGATTAGTGTTACTATATAAAAATTCTAGAGACTAAGTTTCATATAAGGCAATTACTCTACTTTTAATTTGTGATACAGTCTATTTCTCCTTTTTACAGTATTCATTCCCCTTATTTAATTTCTTTCTCATTGCACTGAACAGAATCCCCATACTTTCATCATTTTACGGCCAACACAGTGTTATCCACATGTTCACATGAGACATCAAAAACCTACTTCAATAACTTTCTGCCGATCAACTTTAATATAAATTATTAATATCACATAAACTGAGTACATCCATTTCTACCTTTTATTTTTAGTACACCATCATTCTCATCTATTTCTCAGAGGCCCCATCACTGAAATCTTGTAAGTTCTCCTTTTGGTAACTTACATTTAGGGTGAGAAAGCCCTGTAGACGGTACATGCAGGTTCATAAAACATACATAAGCTTTCTACCTTCAAGTTTGAGGCCACAATATACAAGACTTCTACAAAATTGGCAATGAGCCTGTACAGTGCGATTGCCTTAGCAGAAGTAATTTTTAAAATTAATGTTTTCCAGTCACCTTCAACTTTTATACTACTCTTTTTTGAATGATGTTCTTGCTACATATAGATATAAAATTATGGGGGCAGAGGGAAGATGGACCATGAAGCTGAACAAGAAAGCATACAGATGTTAACCATAAAATACTACCATGAAATAAAAAGCAGTTTAAATTTTTTAATTATCTATATGAAATTGAACACTTGTATCTTTGTTTATGTACTGCTAGGTTATCAAATAATATGGAAACATCAAAGTTTATATTACTTTAAGAAAAAATAGTTTTTATTACTTAAATTTCAATGGCTGTCATATGAATCAGGGCCAATATTTATGCTGGAGAGCCATATGGAAGCAACTGTTCTCAGGAAATTCAAAGCCAGAAAGAGCTCTAATAAAAAGCCCACAAAGACATACAGCTTACAATATTTACCATTAATTTAAAAGTCTGGGCTTTTAATATCTGGCTTCTGAGCAACTGATTTTGCTTTCCTTGTAGGCATTATAACTCGGGTAGCTGTGATCAAACAGAGGAATGCCTGCTAACAGGCCAACCAGGTAAGTTTTCTTCAGTTTCGGATTTATACAGAATAGTCACCTGGACTTTTTTTCCAACACTACACCTTTTAGATTAATATTATCTCCATTAACCAATGGCTATACATGTGACTCACAATTAAGAGAAAGATTATTTGAATACAAATATCACACAGTGTCCCACAGAAACTACAATTGCTGATTATCGCAGCTGAATGTTTATTTACGTGCCTTTTGAAAACCATTCATTTGAAGAATACTAGGTACTAAACAGATTGATTAGACTTATATGGTAATGCACCATACCTCAAATTGGTGTTATTTCAATTAGGAAACAATCTAAGAATGAGCTTTTGGAAGTTGTGAATTAAAGTGACTTTTTTTCATTTTTATTTAATTTATTGGGGTGGTATTGGTTAACAAAATTGTACAGTTTACAGGTGCATAATTCCACAACACATCATCTGTATACTGTATTGTGTGTTCACCACCCCAAGTCAAGTCTCCTTCCATGACCATTTATCGCCCCTAAACCCTCCTCCACCTTTCCCACTCACCCTACCCCAGCAATCACCACACTGTTGTCTGTCTATGAGTTGTTGCTCTTTTTTTTCTTTTTTCCTCATTCCCTCCACCACAAACCTCAGCCCTCCAAACAACCCCACCCCCAGCTGTCAGCCTGCTCTATATCTGAGTCTGTCTCTGTGTTGCCTGTTAGTTCATTTTGTTCCTTAGATTCCACATATGAGTGAAATCACATGGTACTTGTCTTTCTCTGACTGGCTTATCACTTAACATAATGCTCTCCCGGTCAAAAGCCATTATGTCTCTAAACATTCATCAGAATGTTTGCTGTGATCATTAAGGTAGAACTTATATATTTATTCTAAAAATACTGCTTGTGGTCAAAATAGTTTTTCATCAACTGAATATTCTCACTAGAAATAGGTTGGATATAGTTTTCAGAAATCACCCCAAGTCACTCAGACCCCAGGCTGGTGCCTAAATTGCATTTTAAATAATAAAAAAAAATAGCGTCACTATCAAGTATGTTTAATGACATAGTTATGGAAGCAATGCCCCAAATGGGGGGAATTCTCTAAAAAATATTTTGAATAATAGTTCATCACTGGAAGTATATAACCACAAAGTGACTTCTTTGAAAACATTACCTATTTGGACTATATGCTGTCATATGTCTGAAAACAATTCCATAACTCATAGGCACACTTCCTACATAAACTTGCCTAACTCCTATCCTGTCTTGTGGGGCTTACAATTGACATCAAAGTTATTTGGCTGTGAACCACTAAATAGTCTATACCAGCGATTTTCAATGTCGGTGTGCCACAATAATTTTTAAAACATACAATACCTGACTTTTTAGTCAGGGGCACTGACCTCTTTTCCCTTAGATTGTCAAATGAGAAAATGACAAAAGCCAACACAACAATAGCCGTACAGTGTGAATGAATCAAAATTATACTTATTTTTTGGTCAGGTTGGCAAAAGTATTTTTTTGTTGTCCTGCAGAATTTTAGTGATTAGTATATGTGTGCCATGAAATGAAAAAGGTTGAAAATCACTAGTCTATACTCATAGCAAATTAGTTTTCAGATCACATGCATCTTTCTAACAATCATTTTTGTCCTTTCATGTTCTGAACACAATAGAACACATCCCATATAATAAAGAGGTGATATGCAAATTGACCATCACTCCAACACAAGATGGCCGCCCCCCTGTGGTCAAAGATGGCCGCCCCCATGTGGACACAAGATAGCTGCCACAAGAAGGCCAGCTGGGGAGGGCAGTTGTGGGCAATCAGGCCAGCAGGGAAGGGCAGTTGGGGGCAACCAGGCCTGCAGGGGAGGGCAGTGAGGGGCAACCAAGGCCTGCAGGAGAGGGCAGTTAGGGGTGACCAGGCCATGAGGGAAGGGCAGTTGGGGGTACCAGGCCTGCGGGCGAGGGCAGTTAGGGGGGGTGACCAGGCCTGCAGGGCAGTTGGTAGGCACAAGGCCTGCAGGTCAGAGTAGTTGGGAGGGTGGGGGTGACCAGGCCAGCAGGGGAGATCAGTTGGGAGTGACCAGGCCTGCAGGGGAGGGCAGTTGGGGGTGACAAGGCCAGCAGGGGAGGGCAGTTAGGGGCAATCGGGCTGGCAGGGGAGCAGATAGGCGTCAATTAGGCTGGCAGGGGAGTGGTTAGGGGGTTATTAGGCTGGCAGGCAGAAGTAGTTAGGGGCAATTAGGCAGGCAGGCAGGTGAGTGGTTGGGAGCCAGCAGTCCTGGATTGTGAGAGGGGTCCCAGATTGGAGAGGGAGCAGGCTGGGCTGAGGGACACACACAACCCCATGCATGATTTTTGTGCACCGGGACTCTAGTTTAAATCATATAGTTTTCAAATCCAAATAAAGTAATTTCCTATCTGTGACCAATGGGGCTGACCATATCACCTACTAAAATTAGTTTAACACTATTTGGCAACAATTCAGAATGTGACATCAGAAGAGGTTCAGATGCATCCCTGAAACTTTCCAGTGGCCCTTCTTCATGTCCTACAACATATCACCTGGAACCACATGAAAGTGACATTTCTATAGGTCACAGATAGTTGAATAGCAAAAACTTGATATGGCTTAATTTAATAATATTGCTCTAAAGAAGTTCAAACACCCATCAACAGAGCTGATAAAATCAGATTGTTATCTACATGTCGACCAACCTATGTATCTCTACACAGTTTGATAGTTTACAAAAACCTATTAAGGTCCATATATCATATGGAACTTTGCAACCCTGTAAAGTAGGCAGATTAGATATCCTGACCTCCACTTTACAGGTGAGAAAATAAGGCTCGGATGTTAAGTTACTTGCTCAAATGTCCAAAAGTAATGGAGCAAGGAATCAAACCTACACCCTTTGACTTCTTCTGTTTGCTGCAAACAACCTTCCTTTAGAAGAATAATCAAAATCATCTAAGTGAAAACACATACACTCCCAATGCTTATTTGTGGACAGATTCCATCAATACCTATGCAGTAAGTGTCTACATTGAAATACTTAAATGCTTTCAAAGCTGCGAGTACATACTCAAGTACATTCTTATAATTTATTGACTCACTTCTGCAACCTGTACCCTCACACGTTCATCCTTACATCTCATAGGCCGAACTGCCCCTTACCCCCAAAGGTCACATACCAAGCTAACTGTACTACACATCCATTGAGGAACAAACCATTACACTAAACACACAGTGTAGGCCTCATACCATCAATCGTGGCACAAGACTACTTTACTTAAAGACAACCAAAGCCTAGGATGTGATTCTCAATATCTGTTAATTAAATGAATGGCCCATGACTCAAATTGATTGTGGTGATGTAATTACTCCACTTACAGCTTAGAAGAAACATTTGCTACTGCCTAGATTTGTTCTACAATCATCACTATTTATGGATAAAAAAGTTTTATACAAACTTCTAATACAGGCAATTACATACATTAAAATAATCTGAGTAAGTGACAGCTGGTACAATGTAATAAGGCTTTCTCCTCAACCACCCACCCCTACTGGCCCATCAAGCAATAATAGAATCTTTCTTGTTTACTAATTTAAAATAATATATATTTCACCAATGCTATCTTTAGATACAGAGAGTGATAACCCCTTCTTACTGTCTGGAACTATGGGGTGTCGATTTGCAGGGATCAAATCTCACTTGTTACCAAGAAAACATATCTGTGACTATTGTAGCTAGCCATGGAGAAGGGAGTGAAAGTAGACATACTTCATACTTCATAACATGCACACACACACACACACACACATACCTTTGCTTTTAAATTGTTTGTAAATGCTGTATATACTTACTCACACAACAGAACACCATTCTCTAGAGAGGCTCGAAAATCCTTTGTTTCAAAATTCTTCTCTGTTACTGCCTGAAAGACAGATTTGGGTATTAATTTTCTTTTAACCAGGAATAAGACACAAGTCAAATTCAGATTAAGTGATATGCATCTAATATTATCATTGAAGGATGTGCATATATCAAAAGCTGTTCCACAAAAGAAATTATATGAGGTTCCATGTTACAAAGAGAGAGGTTAACCACTTTAGTATGAAAAAATATAAACAGAAAAAAAAACCACAATGAGCATTTTCTGTAATGTAACCATTTTATGGATAATAAAAGTTGGAAGCTAAATTTTGAACATATTTTGTATTTAAAAATCTATGGGTGATCTATTTTACTAAAAGTAAATAAACTTGAAACACCAACTATATATGCACATAATTAATTTCAATTCCACCCTTAAATTCCTCACATTTCATTACAAAGATAAATAGCAAAGGGCCTGACTCTCCTTAAATGTATTCATGAAATGGTCTGTGTAAAGAGCTATTTACTAAAACATACGAGGGAGAAGACTGTTAAATCCTAAACTGAGAGACAAAAGATAGAGAGGGTAGACGGTAAGAATTTCAAGCAGACGATTCCCCACTTAAGACTCTTATATATGAGCAGGCCACCTAAGGTTACCACCATCAATGTTCTTAGTAAAACTGCTGTGAAAATCTCTCCAGATTCTGTCTCTTGAGGATAGGGGAGATGGGAGGGAAGGGAGTTCCACAGGGGAAGCAGTAGCAGAGAAAACAGTGGGGGGGAAACTGCTCCAAGAACAACTCTTGGGCCTGGATCCCCAGCTAAGGGTGTGGGCAAGAGAACCACCATCTGCTAGCAGGAGTCCTTGTTCCACCTGCCACTTCAGGAAGAAATATAATCTTGGGGATTGTTTTGGGAAGTAATTCATCTCAAATCCTAGGTGAGCCACAGTGCCCCTCTGTTCTTATTCACCACTGCTAGCTTTACTGTCCACCTAGAATCCCTATTATGTCTTCTGCATCTTTTCCACAATGCCCAACATAGCTCTAAGCTAGACATACTACCTGTTAACTGACAAAACAATGGGTAATTTTAGAATTAAAGTTAGTTTCTCACGAGATGGTTCTATAAATATGGACAGAAGCCAAGGCTAGAAGGTGACACACGGAAAAGCAGGAGCATCCTGTATATGGCGGGAGATTCTTCCCTCAAGAAGTTCACAGCCGCATAAGTAAAAGACAAAGTTTAAAAGCACAGTAAATGCAAACAGAATGGTATGTTTGGGGGGAGATAACCTTGAGTGGCCCATGGATTATCTCAGGTAATCTGTGTAGCACAAACTCTTATTTTCCCCAAATAGATCCAATACAAACTCAAGATGAGTATTGATCCCAACTAGTGAAAACATAGTGATATCTAATTTTTTGGGGAACTCCTACCCAAAGCCAAAAAAGCATAAAAGGGCCCAGGAACATCAAAGTCCATTTTCTCTAGTCATAGGAAAGCCACTGAGAGCCACCAATACTTAATTGTCCTACTGTGAAACGATCTAGCAATTATTTTTCCAAATCAATGTAGATTAGAAGCAGTGGTTTAGAAGACAAAAAGAGCTATGTCCTACAAACACATGGAGAGCAGTAAAGAGTAAGTCAACAACACTGAATGGTCCAATCCAGAGGGCAGAGTGTAGCAAGTGACAAAATGGAAAGAGAAAGGGCTCAACTCAGGCAAAAGTATATTCAAACCCCACTTTCATTACCTAATAGCTGTGTGATCTTAAGCAAGTTAAATAACCTCTCTGAACTCCAGTCTACTGATCTGAAACAAGGAAAATATCACCTACTTATTAGCTTGTAAAGATCAGGATACTGTGCAATCAAATAGCTGAGGGTAGTTAACTGCAGTATATGCTTAACCTCATTACATGTATTGACCTTCAAGGTAACACTCTGACAACACACTCCAATAATTAACCCTCAAAGGAATACCTCTGTACCATATAATCAGAATATTAATTAAATAGAAATAATGGAATTTACAGAGCTATTCAGAAAACCCAACTATCCAGAAAGTTTCATTTTCCCCAAAAAAACTCTAGAAAGTCAAAGCCATAGTAGATTTAGACCACCCTCCTCAAGATATCAAAATATTAACGTACTCTTGTACATTTATACTTACCAAATCTAAATAATTATGCTATAATACCAGACCAATTTATACTGTTTATAAAGAAGACTATAAAAAGTAAAAAAGATTTTTAAATAATAGCCTATATTGTGAGTTCATGGGAATCTGGCATGTTCTGTACAATAGTAAAGGTTATATAAAATGATACCACAATTCTAGAAGGCAATTTGTGATATGTATCTGAAGTATTGAATATGCTTCTTCCAGACATATTATGTCCAGATCTAGGAATGTACACCATGACAACAAGAGAACAAGACATAAGAAGGACTGCTTCACAGCACTGAGTATAATAGCAACAATTACAAACTGCCTGAATGCCCAACAATAAGACGCTGATTACATTATGATATAACTGTAAAACAGAAGTTTGCATGAAATTTAAGCTCATGTTATGAAAGTAGATTTACTTGTAAAGAACCCTTTATATATTAATTATAAAGCAATTCACTAAATAATACATGAGCAGGATCCCAATTACTATAACTCTATAAGTATGCATTATATAAATAAATATTAAATAATTATTTCTAAGTGGTAGAATTATAGCTAATATCAATGTTTATTTTTTATTATTAACATTCTGTAACAACCACAGGTGCTTCCTGTGTCATAGATATACAATTAATATTTTTTAAAACAACATGCAAGAGAGGTCAGAATCCATCAGATTTAGGTCAATTTTCTGTGTCTCTTATATCTAAAGGATAAAAATCCACTAGACTACCTTCTGTGTCCTGGAAACTGTAAAAATTATAGAGATCTATAAAGGATCTCAAAATATAGTGAAGACAGTTTGCTCCAAAAAAATTAAATCATGCTTTAAAATGTGAACCCATCTTTATTTTAAGAAGAATTCAAAATACTGAACGAAATTTAAGAATTTTCAAAGAACAAGTGTTTGTCTAGTAGTCCTAACCTAACAATTACTCACTGCGTTTTCAATAATTCTGAGCCTTACTCATTAGAATGTTATTTGAGGTGTGACACATTTTATGTAATGAGGTGAGTCACAGGAACTCTAGACCACGTGTTTCCCACTTGAGTTATCAAAAGTCAACACCAACCGGAGTAATCACTATGTAGTCAAGAGCCACACCTTGCCTTCTATAAAAACTTGGCTATTAAAAAAAAAAACTTGGCTATTTTCCTCTTCCTTGTCCCTTTCTATAGTTTTTAATGCAATTAAGTAAAATCATTACCACCTGAGACGTACATCAGATGAGACCTGCGATTCAATCCTGAACACATCTTACTCTACAGACTTTTTTTTTCCCAGAGAGGAAGGGAGAAGGAGAGAGATAGAAACATAAATGATGAGAGAGAATCATTGATCGGCTGCCTCCTGCACACCCCACATTGGGGATCGAGCCTGCAACCCGAGCATGTGCCGTGACCAGGAATCAAGCCGTGACCTCCTGGTTCATAGGTCGATGCTCAACCACTGAGCCACGCCAGTTGGGCTACGAACTTCTGATAAGTCACTGCTCCATCCCCTACTTTTAAAGGGAAAGAAATATTTGCCCAACCCACTTCACATTACACAAATGATATGTGAAAATATTTGACCCTTTCAAAAAAAGAAGATGAAGAAGACTACACACTATAGTCAGGGCTACTGCTTCTTCCAGCCATGCAGCCCTGGGTGCTGATGAGTCGTCCTGTTGGAAAGAAAGCTAAGAAACGTACAGGGCCAAGGACTCTTCCTGGGAAGCTGTAATTACTCTCCCAAGCATATTAAGGGTGGAGCAGCGTGCGGAAAACACACCTTACACAATCACGGCTGCCAAACCTGTCCTACCGCCTGTAGGCTCTGGAGAAGCCCTTGATACGAAGCTTTTAAAGGGCATATTTTGTGAAAGAAAATATCAGCTACATAAATATATAGGCAATAAGTGCCAAGACCACAAATTTCAAAATAGCCATTGCTTCTCCTATGAGAAGTATTAATTTAGTAAACAAATGGGAATTAGCATCACACCCTTTTTTGTTTATGGTTTTATTTTAATCCTCTCGCTGGATGAGATTTCCCACCAATATAAGCAGCAAGTTTCTCTAAAGCTGCATCTCTCAGTTCCAATTCTGACCACATAATCAACATGATTTAAATCCCAGACATTCTGGGAACATCTCGAAGACCACTTCATACCAGACGGGTTATCAGCAAAACACCCACTAATGCAAGTCAGCAGGCACTCATCTTGTTTAAATTTTTCAATTCCTGTTAAGCAGTCATTTTAAAGACATCTAGAATCCCAAAAGCACTCTCTACCATATTTTTGTGGGAATCACAGTGCAAAACCAGTGCCCATTTGAACTGTTTCAAAAGAGAAGAGATGTTTGGCGACAAAAACTAGGCTACAAGCTTCCAAGGGGCTCAAAGTTGGTTCCAAATTAAGTTACTTATTGATTGATCAGCTACTGGACCATGATATTTAAGACACATGCATACCATCATCATCTTGCCTATCATGTATTTCAACATAAATAATGCAACACAAAACAAACACGAAGAACATTTACCATCAGAAGCCACTATGGAACACAGGTACCCCTTCATGAAACAATTCCCCAAAACTGGCTCTGCCTTAATTTTCCATTCAACATGTCAGCATTTACTAGGTGTACCAGTTAATAATGTGGATTTTTTTCAATAGATGGCGTTACACATCTGTTGATATATATGCGATTTGATATGTATGCTATTTTGTTGTATTGACAGCAAGCTTCAAAACTTCATGTCAAATTTGCTGAAGGTGCTAACATCATAGATATTTTTATGCTTAAAAATGTCGAATTTCGTGCCAAAAAAAAAAAAAAAGAGCATTTGCGGGAAGTTTTAATTCATTACTTTATTTTGAAGAAAAA